CAGGTCACTGTTGGCGGGGTGCTGAGGCTGGGACAGGCCTTAGGCTGCTGCTGGGGGTCCTGGGCTGGGCATCAAGCTGTGAGCGTAGGGTCTCTGGGACCCCATCTCACCCTTGCACCATGGGGTAGGGCCACGGGGACATGTGGGAGGAGGAAGGGACCTGTTGGGACAGAGGAGGGACTGGTGGGGCTGTGGAAGGGGAACTGGGAACGGGCCATTTGGGATGAGGAAGGGGGCCAGTGCCAGGGCTGGGAATGTGTGGGGAGAGAGAGGGACGTTGTGGTTAGGGGAAGGTGTTGTGGTTCAGCCCCAGCCAGCAGCTGAGCACCACGCAGCCGCTCGCTCATCCCCCTGGCGGGATGGGGAGGAGAATGGGAAGACAAAGGTAAACCTTGTGGGTTGGGATAAGAACAGGTTACTGGGACAGCAGAGGGAAAGGGAAATAACAACAGTACTTAGAATACACAAAATGGGTGACACACTATGCAGTTTCTCACCTGACGACCTTAGAACTCAGACTGCACACTCAGACCCGTCCCAAAGCCAGACCATCCCTGAGCCACGTGTCCTGGAGCCGTGCTGCCCCTCCCCGACTAGCCCCCTTTTATGCAGAGCATGACATCATATGGTATGGAATACCCCCTTTGACTAGTTTGGGTTACCTCTCCTGGCCGAGTCCCATCCCAGCTTCTGGTGAAAATTAACTCTATCCTAGCTGAACCCAGGACAGAAGGGGACAGTGGGAAGAGACATGAGGAGGGGTGTGAGGCAGAGTGCCTGGGTAAGCAGGGAAGGGGAACTCCCTTGCCCATGTGGTCACAGCAGGCCAAGAAGGCGGGGCTGGGGTGCCTCGGCCTGTGGCCACAGGTGCTCAGGGAATTTAGGTGGGAGCAAGGCCATCCTCAGGGCTACAGGTGGGGTCCCCCATGGCCACAGCACCACTCTGAGACCTGGGGCGGTGTGGGTAACCCAACCTCTCTTTTCTACCCCCAGTGCAGATGGGGGTGCCACCTGGCTGTGGACTACATCCATTGTCCCTGACAGGAATGTCCTTTGCTGCCGCTCCTGCCCAGAGAGCCTGGCCTAGACATCTCTGTCCCCTCTGTGCTGCTGCTCCCAGCACTGAACTGGGCAGGTTTTCCCCAGTGTGGCTGTATTTCCCACGGGGCATGCAAACCCAGTTCCCACAACTGGCTGCATGCCTGGGCTCCCCATGCCCCCAAGCTGTGTGCTGGCCCATACCTGTTTGTCACCATTCCCTGGTCCCAGGGATCTGGTGCAGAGGTGCTGATATGCCCTGAGAAGTGTGGGTGGGTGGAAAACAGTCATTCCCTGCCCTGGCCTGCATTGGCACTGGCCGAGTCTTGCTGTTTTGTGGAGACCCCGGTGCCCTCCAGGACTAGGGGTTGGGGCCAGGGATACCCTGTTGGTGATGGGGGCCTGTCCCAGTGATTAACCCTGGGATAAGGAGTGTGGGCTGCACTAGGGTTCTTCCCACCTGTCCTGGGGTGGGCAGGAGCTGTGTGATGCCATGTGCTTGTGGGCGCTGGGCATGGCACACCAGGAGTTCCCACATGCATGGAGGTGTTAATTAGCAGTTTATTATCAGGGACATGTGGGGGGCTGGTGTGGCCCTGGGGCATCCCTGGTATGGTGTGTCCCGTGCTCTCAGCTCCTGCAGGAGGGGAGGAAGTGAGTGAGGCTGGACAAGGGCAGGCAGCCCTGGCCAGGCAGCTCCCACCTGACGTGGCCTGGAGCAGATGGGACTGGTGCAGCTGGGTGAAGAGGAGACCTCACCTGCGCCTGTAGCACCAGATGGCCCCAGCAAGGAATGCAGCCACAGTCAGCAGCACTGCGATGGTGATGCCAGCACTGAGAGCTACCTTGGAACTCCCTGGAGGAGAGAGGAGAGAGAGGGGGGCGCACAGGAGGCCATGGCCAGACTTGCCATCAGAGTCTGACCCACCATCCTCCAGGCACTGCACATGGCCAGTGGCTGCTACCTCTACCCTGTGCCCCATCCCCATGGGTGGCACCTACCCCATGGGATGACAAGGCTGCGGGTGCCCAGGCTGCGGTGGCGCACGCGGCAGGCGTAGCTGTGCCCATCACGGGGGGCCACGGCCAGGACGCTGCGGAGCTGGTAGGTGAGGTCAGCATTGGGCAGGATGTCACTGGTGTTGAGCGCAGGGCCTGGCGGCACCTCCTGGCCATCCCGCAGCCAGGCCACACTGATGGGCCGTGGGTAGAAGCCGGTGACGCGGCAAACCAGCAGAACTTGGTCTGGTCTGGGCATGCGAGCGAAGACCGTGGCCACAGGCAGCTCTGGGGGGGTGAGAACCAAGGGGTGGGGGGAGCCGTGGTGGGCTGCCTCAAGAGAAGGGTGAACACTTGAACACATTGTGCGGGGCTTTGGGGTAGTCCTGCAAGGGTTGGGATGGTCTCACCTTGTCTCTCCAGATCAGCCCTCCCATACTCGATGAATTTCTTCATATGGTCTACACAGGTGACATTGAGAAGGTGCTGCAGGGTTGCAGAGAAGCCAGTGAAGGTGTTGAACTGCCTCTCAACTTGCACTGCCAGCTCACTCTCCTGCTGCCTCTCCCAGTGGCTGTTGTCCACGTCAAAGCTGAGGAAGTTATGGGCATTGTAGGCCAGATGGTAGAATTTGGTATAGGAACCATTGGAATACAAGTTGCAGCCAGTCACGCACTGGAACACAAAGGGGTCTGGGGCGGGCAGGGGGGGAGATGATGGGCATTACATATGCAGCTCGAGCTGGAGCCTGAAATTGCAGCCTGGCACTCACTTCTTTGGGCACAGCCCTTTCCCCTTCCCTCTGCACCCCCAGTCATTCTCCACAGGGAGAAGACACAAAAGGCCAAAGCTCAGTTAGAGTTGAATCTGGCCAGTGTTGTGTCAGACAACAAGAGAGGCTTTTTAAAGTACATTAATAGCAAGAGGAGGTCTAAAGAAAACATTGCACCAATACTTGTTGAAGATAGTCACCTGACTAATAGGGGTGAAGAAAAAGCGGAGGTATTCAATGCTTTTTTTGCCTCAGTCTTTAACAATACCAGTAGACCTTGGGCTGCCCAGTCCTCTGAGCCAGAGGACCACGACTACAGGAACAGTGACTTTCCTTTTGGGGACACTGAAACTGTCAGGGCCCAGCTGTATCAGCTAAATGTTCACAAGTCCATGGGGCCTGAAGAGATTCATTCCAGAGTACTGAAGGAGCTGGTGGATGTTATGGCAGGACATCTCTCCATCATCTACCAAAGGTCTTGGGAGTCTGGGGAAGTCCCTGCTGACTGCAAGCTAGCCAATGTTATTCCACTTTACAAGAAGGATGTGAGGTAAGCTACAGGAAACTACAGACCTGTTAATCCAACCTCAGTACCTGGAAAAATTATGGAGATCATACTGGGTGCTATTGAAAGGACAATACAATCATCAGGCATAGTTAACATGGGTTCACAAAGGGAAAGTTCTGTAACTAATTTTATATCCTTCTACAATAAGGTCACCCATTTAAAGGATGAAGGGAAGGTGGTGGATGTAGTTTTTCTAGATTTTAGTAAGGCATTTGATACAGTCCCTCACAGCATCCTTCTGGACAAGTTGTCCAACTGTGAGATGAGCAGGTTCATGTGGCGCTGGGTGAAGAACTGGCTGGATGGCAGGGCTCAAAAGGTTGTAGTGAATGGGGCTACATCTGGCTGGCAACTGGTCACCAGCAGTGTTCCTCATGGCTCAATCCTATGGCTAGGGCTGTTCAATATTTTGATCACTGATCTGGATGCAGGAGTTGAATGCAGCTGGGGCAGAGTTCCACTGGACACAAACATAAATTGACAGGGGAATGGCTGGAGAGCACCTCTGCAGAAAGGGACCTGGGGGTGCTGGAGGGCAGCAGACTCAGTATGAGTCAACAGCGTGCCCTGGCCGCCAAGAGGGCAAACTGCACCCTGGGAGGCATCAAACACAGCATAAGCAGCTGGTCAAGAGAGGTGATTATCCCGCTGTATTTAGTGTTGGTGCAGCCTCACCTTGAGTACTGTGTGCAGTTCTGGGCCCTGTCATTTAAAAAGGATGTGAAGGTACTAGCATGCATCCAGAGAAGGGTGACCAAGCTGGTGATTGGGCTGGAAGGCATGTCCTATGAGGAGCCGCTGAGGACTCTAGGCTTGCCTAGTTTGGAGAAAAGGAGGCTGAGGGGCGACCTCATCGCTCCCTGCAGCTTTCTGAGCAGGGAATGTGGAGAGGGAGGTCCTGATCTCCCTTGGGACCTTGGGATCCAGGACAGGATGCATGAAATGGTTCAAAGCTGCCTCAGAGCAGATTCAGACTTGACATTAGGAAACTTCTTTACAGAGGTGGCCAAGGCCCCAGGCCTGTCAGTGTTTAAGAGGCATTTAGACAATGCCCTTAATAATTTGCTTTAACTTTTGGTCAGCCCCAAAGTGGTCAGGCAGTTGGACTGGATGATCATTTTAGGTCCTTTCCAACTGAACTATTCTATTCTAGTCTAGTCTAGTCTAGTCTAGTCTATACTCTATATTTTCCCATGTCACTGCTCTGCCTTACACCAGGTGGAAACTCTGCAGGTGAGAAACCTGTCCTGAGGCCTGTAGCTCATTGTCCTCAAGTTGTCCCTGGCCACAGCATGGTTGGGAGCCATGGCACAGCAGGAAGCACTGCTTTGGGGGAGTGACAGGACATGGGGTGCAGGCGAGTAGGAGGACAGTGGCACTCTGCCCAGCACCCTGCCTGTGCTGCACCAGCATGTGGGACCAGGTGCTTGCTCCATGTGTCTTTGTCCCGCAAACATGAGCAAAGAGGCCCCTTTGACCTTCTACTCCACTTTCTCAGATGACTTCTCTAGTGGGATTTGGGGTGCCTGCAGAGCAATAAGGGTGACTGGTGTGAGGGCATAAGTGGAGCTAAACATGGCCAAGGTTTGTGCTGGGGACTAAAATGGCCCCATGTGATCTCTGCAGAGGACAAGGTGGTTTGGGGGTCTTGCTGGTCCAGAATGAGGCCCATTCCCTGCCCTCCTGCCAGCCCCTGTTTGGGAAAGCTATTGTTGGTGGGTCTGAGCTTCTTCTCACAGCTCCCTGACTTGGATGAGTAGGTGCTGAAGCACCTGGTACTCACAAGGTGTCTGGAACAGCTTGGCTTCACCGGACAGGGACAGAATGAAGTTGTGCACATAGAGCCTGAACAGGTTTTGCAGGTTCTCCCACTCTGCTGCAGGCAGGGCTGGGTAGACCCATGGGTAGAGGTAGAGGATGTTCCAGGTGTATTTCTCCAGGGAAGCAAAGAGAATGTCTTCCAGGGTGCCCCAGCCCGCAATGTCCACAAAGTCAGTGTTGTGGAAGATGAAGGTTTGGAAAAGGTGGAGTTTACAAGAGCCTGTTGGGAGAGAGGGGAGAGGAAGCAGCATTGGGGTGCATGAGGAAGAAGGGGTGGTGGCAGCCCCAGGAGGAAGGGTGGCCTGCAGTGTCCCTGGGGACAGGCAGAGCAAGATGGGGCAGATGGGCACGGTGGGAGAAATCCCCTGGTTTCACTCACGGTGCATTTTCCTTCCACAGCCTCTCTGAGCCTCTTCCTGCTTCTCCTCTAATTTTGGGTTTTTTAGCCATTTAGCACCCCACTGTGACCTTCTGGGAGCTGCCACTTATCCATGTGGAAGGGATGGCAGAGAGGACCTCGGTGCTGTTTTGGGGTGATGCTCCCCCAGCAAGGAGCACCCACACCAGACACGGATCCACTGGAGACCTGCACATACTGCAGGGGCGTGGGGGCTGGGAGGGAGGGGCATTTCACCCTAGTTTAGGGGCTCTCAGGCAGTGCTCAGGACTGAACCCTAACAGGAGGCAGGAGACTGAGTTCAATGCTGCAGCACTGAATGAGGCTCTTGGTAGTAAGCGAAGCCTGTTTTGGAGCAGTGGGTGCGCCCCGGCCAGCGCGCGATGAGCGCCTGCCCCCAGCACGGGAAACACAGGCTGCGGCTGCAGGTGAAGGCTTGTTGTAGCTGCAGGATGAACCTTCGAGCGTTGTTTCACAGGGGAAGAATGCAGAGGATCTGGGGACCCTTTGATTGCAAGAGAAATGATCCTGCAGGCTGAGGGCATTGCCCAGGACCTGCTCAAGGGGGTGGAGCCCAGTGCAGGGCTGTTGTGCTGTGAGGGGCTGAGAACCCCTGCTGCCCACAGGCTCCCTGCTAGAGGAAGGCATCCTTGGGAGCACCCCAGCACCTCAGACCTGGCTGAGGCACCCTTTGCCTCTTGGCTGCTCAGGCACCTGAACCCCAGTGCCAGTAGTGCTGGGCTAGGCAGGATGGTGTGGGGCAGGGAACCCTGAGCAGGTGGGGGGATGGGGCATCTTTGGGTGCTGCGCAGTAGGGGGTGGCCCCTTGGTGATGGGGACAGTGGCCTGTCTGTGCCCACCCCCTGCCACCTCTGTGGGGTCCCACAGTGCAGGGATGGGAGCAGGTGGGGGTGAGCCAGGGATCCCACTTACCCTCTGGATCTGCTGATGTCCCAGGGAGGAGGAGAAGTAAGAGGAAGAGTAGATGGCGAGAGGGCTGCATGGTGCCAGCGGCAAGTGTGCAGGAGCAAATGTAGCAGGAGGAGGAAGGGGCCACGGGAGCTGTTACAGCATGCTTCTTCCCATGGCTGCTCTGCCTGGGCAGCTCTGGTGGTGTCAGTGTCATGAGGCGGCCTCAGTAGCCAATGAGGCTGGTGCTGAGGTTTTGGGGAGGACCCGGCTGGGTGTGTTCCCCAGGGGAAGGTGGTGTGGCCTGTGGAGGGCTGGGCTGGGGTGCTCTGGCCAGTAGCTGCAAGCGCCTGGGGAATTTGGGTGGGTGTGAAGTCATCCCTCCTGGCTGCAACAGCACCCTGACACCAAAGGAGATGTAGGCTGAGCATGGCCAATGGTGGCCTTCTCCTCCTCCCGTGATAACCCCCAGGGGTTTACTCTGTAGAGTGTATTGGGTTTATGTGGCAAAGTTTTGGTAGCAGGAGGCCTGTAGAGGTGGCTTCTGTGAGAAGATGCCAGAAGCTGCCCCCATGTCCAACAGAGCCAGTTCTAGTCAGCTCGAAGACAGACTCGCCGCTGACCAAGACTGAGCCAATCAGCAATATTTGTAGTGCCGCTGTGATAACATATTTAAGAAGTGGTAAAAACTGCTGTGCAATAGCAGCTGGGAGAGAGAAGTGAGAATATGTGAAAGAAACATCTATGGAGACACCAAAGTCAGTGAAGGAGAAGAAGGAGATGCTCCAGGCACTGGATGGTGCCCATGCAGCCTGTGGTGAAGGACCACAGTGAAGCAGATATCTACCTGCAGCCCATGGAGGACCCCACGATGGAGTAGGTGAATGTGCCTAAAGGAGGCTGTGACCCCATGGAGAGGAGCCCACACTGCAGCAGGTCTTGTGGTAGGACTTGTGACCCCGTGGGGGACCCGTTCTGGAGCAGCCTGTTCCTAAAGGTCTGCACCCCATGGAAGGGACTCATGCTGAAGCAGTTTGTGAAGAACTGCAGCCCTTGTGAAGGACAGTCTCCTACGGGTGGGACCCAATGCTGGAGAGGGGTGAGGAGGAAGGAGCAACAGAGACCATGCATAATAAACTGATGGCAATCTCCATTCCTCATCCCACTGTGCCACTTGGGAGGAGGAGAAGTCAAGAGTGAAGTTCAGCCCAGAGAGAAGGGAGGGGTGGGAGGAAGGTGTTTTTAGATTTTTTTCTTATTTCTCATTATCCTACTCTGGTTTTGATTGGCAATAGATTAATTTCCCCAACATGAGCCTGTTTTGCCTGTGACGTTAATTGCTGAGTGATCTCCCTGTCCTTATCTCAACCCACAAGCCTTTTGTTGTATTTTCTCTCCCTTGTCCAGTTGAGAAAAGGGAGCGATAGAGCAGTTGGTGGGCACCTGGTGGCCAGCCAAGGTCAACCCATCACACCACCCTTCTTGGGGGCATGTTGCTCAAACACAGAGCCTCAGCATGGCTTTCATGGCTGTTAGGCATATTGGGAAGGTGTCTCCCATCCCTCCAGCTTTTTCAAGGGCAGGAGTCAGGAGTCAGGAGTGGAGGAGATCCCAACCCAAAACCATCCTGGACAGAGAGTGAGATCAGTACTGGAGCTGGAGCAGCTTTGCACTTGTGTGAAACACCTCCCTGCATCAGGGGATTGGAGATGTCACTTGGGTCCTCCCTTTCCCTTCTCTCCCCAGCAAAATGGCTTAAATCCCTCATGTCTCCCTGGTTTGTGTCCTGCTCCATGCCCCATCCCACTCAGTGGTCCCACGTTGGTCTGACCCCAGGCTGTCACTGCCCTTCTGCCAGGGACAGACACTGGCCATGGAGATGCTGAGATGTGGGAGAGGTTGGCGGAGCAATTGCTTCTCCTGGCATGCCAGGGGAGATCAGCCAGTGTCCAGGAAAAGGGAAAGTCTTCCTGGCTGCAATGTGGGGGCCTCTGCAGCGCACTGAGGGGTTTTCTGGGGGGACCTTGTGAGGGGAAAGGAGAGTGAGAGCCACAGGAGCCATGTGCAGCTGGGGAAGTTTGTAGCTGTTTAATGCAGTGGTTTTCCAGAGCAAACCCTTGTCGATGCTCATGGGTCAGGGATGGGGGATGAGATAAGTGGGGAGAGCTGGTGTTGAGGGAGCTCATTGCTGGGTGGGCAGCCAGGCCTCAAGTGATGAATTCCTGGGTCTCCTGTGTGGACTTGTTACCTTTCCTGCAAGGGGGAGCAACTGTGAGCCACGCTCAGGGCCAGGGAGTTCATGCCTGCAGACCTGCTGCTGTTGCAACCCCCTGGCCTGACCCATCTGCCCACAAACCTGAGAGCAGACAGTGGGAGGGACACCTTACCTGCACTTCCACCACCAAATTCCCCCAGCAGAAGCTGAGGCCACAAGCAGCAGCAATGTGATGGTGATGTCAAGGGTTGGAGCTGCACTGCGGTTTTCTGGAAGGGGGAGAGAAGAGGGCAGCCATGTAAGTGTGGCAGCACCAGGAAGGAGCTGCCCTT